ATACAGCACAGTGAACTCTAGCTCAGCACACTCACACCTAATGAAGGCTTGAAACCCCACCCCACCGGTCTTACCTGATTCGTCTGGGCCGCGGTATCGCCCCCGACTACTGTGCACCACGAGGAACAGCAGCAGCAGGGGGGTGGCTCTGGGCCTCATGGCGGGGATGGTGTGGGAGGGCAGCGCGTGCTGCTGCAGAACGCACCGGAGATGGGCCGGCCGGGGACTGATCCCGTGCGGCACCGGGGCTGCCACATTATGTCTAGGGGAGGCGGATGCCATCGAGTCGCGCCGAGCCGCCGGCAGGGCAGCGAGGGAGCGCGGCGGGTCGGCCCCCCTTTCACGTCACGTCCGGTCCTGGACCGCCCCCGAACAACGTCCCCTTACTCACGCACACCGGGAAACCCAATAAGTGCGTGAATGTCACACACTTTGGCTGCGTGAACGCCATTCGTACACGTGGAGGCACAAAGTGCGTACTTATCCCAAAGGAAAATTCACACTCCCTGTTTACTCCCCCGTGTGCACGAATGGGCATTTACACACCTGTGGCCGACATTCACACAACTTGCGTTTCCAGCAGTGCACCCCGGGACTTCTCCGGCTCTATCTTTCATCTCTCCGACCTTTGCGACATTGTATTGATTCCCACCCATCGGATTGACTCACCATGTGAGTCACATTGTGTGTTTCTTTCGCGGGTGCTGAAAGCCCGCTGGGTTGCCGTGCTGGCGGGTTTGTTTGCCGGCTCCAGTCGAACCGGGTGTAACTGTGAATGCGCAGCAGTGTTGCGGGTTTGCCTATCCAATTCGCCCGTAAGGCGCCATGGCCCCCGCAGCCCTGGCGGGCATGCAATCCCGCAACACTGCTGCGCATTCACAGTTACGCGGTGCGGTACACTCTCAAACCTGTTCTGATGGCAGGATGTCAGTATCTTTTAATAGAAATTCAGAACTTGGTTTTGCAATCGGTCCATGAAATGCGAAATTTATTTAGATTTATCTGATTTGGGAAAATATGCACAATGCGGGTTGGGTGGTGGCTGTTTGCAAGTCTTAAAAGTGTTGGCCATAGGACTTTTCAGTATTCAAATTTCCCGACCGTGCATCATAGAGCTGAACACTACGACGTGCCAGTTGCACACTTTTACTTCCGGTGTACACGCAAGTGGAGATCAAAGAAATTTGAATGAAATTCGTACGACAAATATTACATACCTTTGCGCGCCGTCGCACCCCGACGTTATGTGTGTCGCAGCGTTCGGCTGTCCATACCCCAACACCAAGTACGCGAAGCCCTTTTAAGCCACATTGAATAATGTGGACTTGACGGATTTTACCTTTCGGAAGCTGGCGACACATGCCACCACTCCTCTGGCCCTACCAACTACTTACGTATAACCAAACTGGGTCGTCTATCAGACGACTTGTTAAGGGTTCCATGTCCCACGAGCAGACGACAAAGATAAATCGAATTTTATAACAATGTTGTTATTTTTATTTGTTTTAAAACACCTTATTCGTTGTATTATCGTCCAAACCAAGGCCAGTACTGTTGGGGCCTGACGCCAAACTGGGATGTTGAAGCTTGAGCCGAAGAGCCTCCCGCCTGGAATCCTTGGCCACCACCTGCGCCAAACTGGGATGGATCCTCCAGCTTGAAATCCTTGACCGCCTCCAGCACCAAACTGGGTTGTTGAAGCTTGAGCCGAAGAGCCTCCCGCCTGGAATCCTTGGCCACCACCTGCGCCAAACTGGGATGTTGCAGCTTGAGCCATGGATCCTCCAGCTTGAAATCCTTGACCGCCTCCAGCACCAAACTGGGTTGTTGCTGCTTGAGCCGAAGATCCTCCCCCTTGCAGTCCTAGACCGCCTCCTGCGCCAAACTGGGTTGTTGCTGCTTGAGCCGAGGATCCTCCCGCCTGGAATCCTTGACCGCCTCCAGCGCCAAACTGCGATGTTGCTGCTTGAGCTGAAGATCCACCCCCCTGAAGTCCTACACCGCCTGCGCCAAACTGAGATGTTCCCGCTTGAGCTGAAGATCCTCCCGCCTGGAATCCTTGACCGCCTCCAGCACCAAACTGAGATGTTGTTGCTTGAGCCGA